AGTGTTGTTGGTATACTAGGCAAAGCATTAATTGACATATGATAAGAGACAATTTTCTCAATAAATAACCCATCTTTTACAACAATCCTTTCAATAATTAAAGATTAAGGGATTAAAAGGATTAAAGAGAGAAGTCTATTCTTTAGTGTAATTGGGATCTGTCTGGGCTGTCATGAGTATGGATGAAGTTAGGTTATTTATCAAGGATTTACAAAACTGTAGCTTAGGGGAGAAATGAGAATTTCAGTGATTGAAAGTTACTGAATGTTTGTTCAGTGTTTGTGTAACTCATTTGTTCTGCCAAAAAAGAATGGTTTCTGTTTTTCATATGATAAACAGTTATTCTAGAAGCATTATGTATACTATGACATCTGTAATGTAGTGGTAGTAGCTAGCTCTGGATACTTATAGCTACTTATATAGAAATTTGTGTGATATCTGTTGTATTGAATGGGTTTTACATCTTGCACTTTTTGGCATCTTTCATTCTTTGGAAGATACTCAATGGGACCAACAATTACAGTGATATGATTACCCACAATCATACTCATACTATAAAGTTAATATTTATTCTCTTCCTTCTCCTCCCCATTTCATCTCTCGGTCATATATACTATCTGGCGATATTTTTTATATAAGTAGAAGACAAACTATGAAAACAAGTAAAACATACCTATATTTTTATCATTAATGCAGCATAGTTTAAACAGATAAATAATATGTAGGTATGAATACCTCAATTCCAGAGACAGCATAATACACAAAGTTTCTGTTTTTTAATCAACTATATTTGATTTAATGTATTATTGTTGAAGATAATGGCTTCTGCCCTCTCTCAGGAAAAATTGCTGTGGTTTGGGTGTTTTAGTAATCTGCATTGACCATACAATTTAATGGAGAGAATCTGAGGAGGGTTACTACCAGGGGTGAAATGGTCCCGGTTCGGACCGGATCACCCGATCCGGTAGCAAGGGCAGCGGTTGGTTCAGAGAACCAGTAGCAAAAATCCCTGCCCCCCCCAATGCCCAGCTGAGCTACGCGATCATCAGAGGCTTTTTAAAAAAAATTTAAAAGAATTTTTACTACAACCTTTTCAGCCGAAAAAATGCTTTTAAAAGTAAAAAAAAAAAAGAAGCTTCAGATGATCATGCGGCTCAGCTGGGATCATCAGAGGCTTTTAAAAGTATTTTTTTTCTACAACATCTTCTCCCTTGCTTTGTCCTCCACCACTCCCACCACCTTTCTTCATTCTTCTTTGCAGGCAATTCTTGTTACTGTGAGAGGCTGCACGCTGCTTCTGGACAGTGTGCAGTGTTGCATCTTCTGTAATGTTGACAAAGGCAGGCCAGGGATATGTGAGGAAAGGGCCACCCAGTAGAGCCCTGAAGGCAGAACCAGGGGTAAAGGCTCCTGGCCTACGCCATTCGTGGGCGAGGCTCTGTGGAGATTAGCTCTGTACAAAGGCCATTCGGTAGCGGAGCCTCAAAGCTCTAAGTCACATTTAAAACACCTGAACTGGGAGCTGAGGGGCCTGACAAAAGCGGAGCCCGTGCTTTAAAGGCCAAGCAAGGGCGTCTTTAGTGGCGCGTATATACAGCCTAAAAGTTGGAGAAAAAGTGCCACATTGTAACAGCTATGACATTTCTCCAAAGCAGTGACCGGCCAGAAAAGGGCGTGTCCTTCCTAAGCAAACGGGTGCACTGCGGGAGTCTCAGGCCAGGGAGGCAGTGACCGAAAGCAGCGAGGCTCTGGATGGGTTTGATTCAATGCTGTGAGCGAATTTGTGTGCGCCTCTTGGCCGGTTTAGCTCAAGGGGCAGGGAGGCTGTGTGATCGGAGTGGTTGGAGAGGGCCGGACAAAGGGGAGCATGGGCGGACTAGGGGAAGCGCCGTACTGGGCCTTTAAGTGGGGCAGGCCTTCGGGAGGAGGAGGAAGCCACCGCTCCACCCACCAAGGACAGCCTCCCTGCTCGGAAGTGGAAGATGGGGAGCGCCCGGTGTCTAGAAACTAGGAAAGGCTCGCACTTGGGAAGCTGTGCCCGCCCTTGCCAGCCACACAATGCAGGTTCAGCCACCCCTGATGCAGGTATTTCCATCCAGTGTTTTGCTTGTGGCAGACGATGGCCACCACCCTCACTACCCAGCATCTTGTCAATTCAATCTTCCTGGGCAGGGGAGGCTTGATCCTCTTACCCGGTTCCCCTCCACTGTTTCTCTTTTTCTCTTGCCAGGCATGGCAGGGCTTCCCGCCCCTCGCTTCTCCCCCTCCCCACCCCTCGCCACCTGCCACCCCCAAATTGTGCCTCAAAATAATAAGAAACTCTCCCCGCCTGAAAATAAGGCTAAGCCCTTATTTCAGGGTTCAAAAAAATATGACAGGATCTTATTTTCAGGGAATATATGAATCAATAGTCATTCAGAATATAGAACATAGTAGAAATATGTTAACTCATATTCCAATGAACTGTTATAAGTACAAATTTCTATAATTAAACATTTATTTACTGAGAAAAGCAGTCTTGTGGCACATATGTTGCACATATACCAGCCTTGTGTCTGTGATCCCTTGTAATCAGGCTTAGTAACAGTAATTAATGAGAAGTCTGATTTCCATTTTGACTTTAAACAATACATCGGTTTAAAAATGTGCGTAAAAAGAGACCTGACAACAATACTAAATAATGTGTATTTCCAATGACCATGAAGCTTTTTTATTGATATCGATTATTATTGTTATTATTTTCTCTTCTCTTCCCTATTGGAGAGAGAAGGATTTTCTCAGAAATAAATAAATAAATAAATAAATAAACAAACAAACAAACAAACAAACAAACAAACAAACAAATAAATAAATAAATAAATAAATAAATAAATAAATTCTAGTTTCTTTAAATTTCAAAAGGGGTTAAAGAAATAACCACCAGACCTACAGGCCTCACAGCACTGTATGTATGTAACTTCAGAGCTGACATTTGCCAATTGATTTTAACAAGATTAGTCAGATGACATTTTATAATCTGCTCCACTTTGTTGGAAAAATATAATTATAACACTGGTCACTTGTTATCAGAAAGATTTGACATATTTCTCAATGTGACTTTTTAAATGCATTTTCAAGATATATTAGTAAATCAGAGAACTAAAGAATACATTGCCAAATGTAAGCATTAACACATTCACAAATCTGTTGCTGGAAGACAAAACCTAAATTCCTCTACACCCAGCCAAATATCTAACTGATGTTCTTTAAAGCCCAATGTAGCAAGATCCTGACAAAGGTGTTTTTTTTTTTGTTTTTTGTTCTTATTTTTGTTAAGAAAAAGACTAAAATTTACCATATGAAAATTAATTATTTACACATAACAAAACAATACCAGCACTGACCTCATGTTAAACTAAAAACATAATTAATGTTTTCATGTTAATGTTAGTAATCTTTGTTTCATGTGGTGTTCAAATAGTTACCTTTTAAATCCACAATTGTTCTCATAGCCCTTACTTCTGAATAAAACATTTAGAAATCAACCTCCAAGGAGTTTATTGGAACATTCTAGAACAAATTTGCCTGAAGCAACTTTTAGTATGGAATATTCAATCACAAACCAGCAAATCTCTGTAGGTTAAACAAAACTTTTCTAAAATGTTTGAGGTAACACCAATCTTTCCATTTCAAAATATAAAACAGAAAAGAATTGTTAGTTTCATCAAATAAATGCCAAGTTTATACAAGTTCTTGTGCTATATACAAATATTTAATGATATAATTATTGTTAGTTTCAGAGTCAGTATGGAGAGGATACATTGCTGCAAAATTAAATGTCAGGAAAAATATTTGGATTAGCAAAATAAAGAGAGAGGAGAAAAAGAGAAAGATATTAGCTTGACCATATTTTCTTAGATACAATTTATTCACATTTCACAGAGATATATGTGATTTCTACAGATTGTTAAACTGTACCTTATGTTCCTCACAACACTCATTTTAAATATGGAGGAGGAAAAATGCAGGTACTGCATCTTGGTTAAATAACTTCAAATTATATATTTGCCATCTGGAATGATGGTAATTATTGACACTACTAAAGAATAGATGAATCCCTAATATAACCATTATAGACCATTATAGTATACTTTCATTATTAATTATGTTAGGAAAAAACCCCACAGGATTTGTTTACAGGCCAAGAATAAAGAAAGCAGGTGGTTGTCTAAAACAGGGGTGAAGCTTATTTTTAGAGTGCAATATATAATAATCATCTTTTAGAGGTGGCAACAGATTACGTTTCTCCCAAAAGCCTTTATTCTTACCTTTGTTCCTCAAAAGCATGCAAAAACATGATGTCTAGGAATTCTGAGAAGATTCATTTAACTGATGTTCCAGGAAATTGGGCATTTGTAGTCAAGCACCTTGCTGACCTGTGATTTCTTATTGTTTAGCATATGTTGATTGAAAATGGTCTTTGGGGTAAAAGGACTTTTATTTGATCAAAGAGACTTCAGGTTAGGATCAGAAAGATTTCAGGTTAGGGTTAGACAAAGAGGAATGTTCACCTGATTATATTTAGTGTTTCCAGTTGCACTTTGATCTTTGTCTAGATCCTATTCTAATTTGTAATTTTGAATTACAAAAAGAAGAGGGAAGACTTGATTTTCTTTCCATAGTAACAGATAAGGATTGTATGTACAAAAACCCTTTCATGATCAGGATTGGAAACTAATAGTATTCATCTATATGCTATTAAAATTTTTATCGTCATGACCTTTAACTGAGCAAAAATTGCACTATAGGGCAACATTATTTTGGCCCAAGATACTTTAGAATGGGTCCAGAATCCAGGACTCATGAATCGAAAGGAATGAGATTTGGAAATGTTGTGGTGGTGCTGGGCTGCTGCTGCGGTCACATGATCTTCATATTCAACATTCTATGACAGTTTACTGCAAAGGGAAGAGAAGGGACGGAAGGAGGGAGGAACCATTGCACATATTTCCCAGCCTATGCCACTTCTCATGCCCCTTACCCAAGCTGTGCTGCCCCCTGTGTGCCTTTCCTGATCCACAAAGCACCTCTTGCATACCCAATGAATCTTCCCTGACCATGCCACCACCCTGTGCCCTTTCCTCATATGCATAGCACTTCTCATGCATCCCCATGCATATCTCCTGAACTGTGCCACTGCCCATATACCTTTCCTGACCCACACAGCACCTCTTGTGCACTCCTCTCCCTCCTCCCCAACCTCTGCTCTTCTCACACTCCTTTCCCAAGCCATGCAGCATATCTTTGGTACCCCGTCATAGACTTCCCCACCCACACCAACATCAAAATTCTATCAATGACCTAAAGACTACCTCTTGCACATTCTCAAACACTCTGGGTACCCTTCCAAGCACCTTCTACATACCCACATTATACCCACATATCATTCTTGACAAGTGCCACTCCCCAGTATAGGCCCTACCTAACTCATACAGCATCTTTGTACTTCTAGGCATCCTTTCAATTCTATACTACATGTCCGTGCACCTTCCCTGATCCACAAGGCATCTCTGGTGCACACCACAAACCTTCCCAATCCACATAGCATTTCTCATACGCATCCACGTATTTTTGCTGACTGACACACCATACATGCTCTCATTCCTTTCCCCACCTGGCAGCACTTGCTTGTTGTACTTGGATTTTTGCTACTTGCTACTGTGTACCTCAGTGATTTTCTCCCTTCAAGTTTCCACAAGCAAAGTAAAGGAGGGAGCTGGCTAGAATTAAGTGAGAGAGGAAGGGAGGGAGAGAGGAAGGAAGGAAAGGGACGAAAGAAGGATAAATAGTGAGGAATGAAAGGAGGGATGGGAGAAAACAATGAAGGATGAAAGGAAGGAGAGAGGAAGGAAGATTTCTGATGCTACCTGCCAGGCATCCTCAAGAAAGCTCAATGGATATGCCAGCAGAATATCAGAAGTCACTTCTACTGCTATTGCTCTTTTGCATGGTCACCCATGGTCATTTTGCTTTTCTGTTTAGTAAGAAAATATCTCTGAAATTATGACCCAATGGGTTGTCTATTATGCATCTAAAACTCAGCTAGAAAAAAGGGGCAAATTAATTCCTGATTGCATGCCAGGAAGTATTGCTGTTATTTAATTAAAGACTAAATAAATATTAATAGAATCTTCTTTGGAGTTAAATACTACTAAAAGGGTCAAAAGAAGAATTTCCTACTTAGCTTTCATGAATCACATATGTGGATCTATCTCTTATAATTATCTTACAAGCAAACCAATGGCTGGCGAAAGAAAAGGCTTTGTAATAGCCTTCTACAAAATGGATACTTTTATTCTATGAGAGAGAGTTTCAAGAAAGATGGTATACAAATCATATGGTAAAGCAACTAATAATGTAGTTTTCTAGTGTAACTGAAGTGTAAACTGTAACCATTTTCTTCAGCTGGTTATTGTCTCTATTGGATTTTTTTTTTCCAGACAGACCTTTTTCTAACCAGCCCAGTCTTGGTTAATTTAGCAATCATTAATTTATTATGTATAAAAAAAAAGCTGCAAAGGACTTCCTAGGTAATATTAATATAAAATAGGGAAATTCAGTTTTATCTTCATGATAGTCCAAATATTCAAACTTCTTTCATCCTGAAAAATAAAAAAGAAGGGATACATTTGAATAAAATGTTTAGGATGATTAATATTAATTTATTATTAAATTATTAAATTAATAATAATTTAAATAGATAGGCAATGTATGTTATGTAGAAAAAAAAGTATACCCGCTTGCCTAATCATTCAGGTAAAAAATGGTTAAGGCTAAGTATCACCCATTCTTAATCAAGTTTTAAATATGTCTGCAAACTTTCAGAAGCCATCAGAATTGCCAATTCTTTTTCCTAATTTTTTAATTAGGAGCCTTCCTGAGTTCTCTGTTCCACTAGTGGCTGTTCTACAAATTAAAAGAAGAAGAAGCTGAATGCTCACCAACTAGTACATAGATACCAAATACCTAAAAAACATGGTGTGTTTCAACAACATTTCAAACTGTGATGAACATTTCATTGAATGTAACAACCCAGCAAAGAAGGAAAGGCATCTTCATCTGGATTCTATTCAATAAATGAGCAGCAACTTTCCTTATTGTACTATCGTTTACCATCTGAAAAGACTCTCTTTTCTCTTTCTTTACCTGCCTGCCTTTCCACATGCATTAACAGCGGTGCTGCTTGTTTTCGTCCTCTGTGGTATTTGAGTACGCTCAGGCATTTTGCACTTAGCCCTGATTTCTCAGTGTGTCTCTTTCTCAATTGGCGTTGGAGTTTTTCTTATGTATTATCTTTTTATATATTATTTTTTAAAAAAGCAATAAAATAATGTTCATATCTAATTACTTAAAACTAAACAATTTTTACTAATGTATGTATGAAATGGTTCAAGGTGTTGGTGACCACCTTTAGAGTGCTCCATGGCTTAGGACCTGGATATCTATGAGACCACCTTCTGCCACCGAGAGCCTCCCACCGGCCAGTATGCTCCCACAGAGAGGGGCTCCTCGGGGTGCCGTCGGTCAAACAATGTCGACTGGCGGCCCCCAGGATGAGAGCTTTCTCTGTGGGAGCACCTGCCCTCTGGAACGAGCTTCCCCCGGAGATACAGACGATTCCGGATTTACGTACCTTCCACCGGGCCCTCAAGACTTTTTTATTTCAACAAGTCGGGTTGGCCTAACTTCTCCAATTGTTTAATTTTAATTTTAATTTTAAATGGGATATTTTAATTTTTGGGCCAAATTGTTTAATATTTTAAACTGCTTTTAAATTTCTGTATTCTATGTTTTTTACCTTTGGCTATTCACCGCCCTGAGTCTTTCGGGAGAAGGGCGGTATATAAATTTAAATATAAATAAATGAATGAATGAATGAATGAATAAATAAATAAATAAATAAATGGTATATAGTTGGACTGAAGGCATAATAATTTGCAAAAGTTGAAAGATATAGAAAAAGAAAGTGAATATGAGATACTCTCTTAGCTTGCTTTTTCTTTTTCTTTTTTTGGTAGACATTTCATTACTCAAACTAGGTAACATCATCATTGCTATCTATGGCTGATTTGTCAAAGACTAGGCATCTAGAAATTCCCTGGCATTTTTGGACTTTGCTTGGTTTAGAATGGTCATGTTTTCCCTATTGAGACTATGGTTAAATCTGTCTACATGTTGTGAAATTAAAGTATAATTAATAGTTTTGATTATTCAAGCCTTAACCCTTTTATGTGCATGACAGTAGCAGAATAGTGATGCAGAATAGGATATTGGATGACTCTATTCGGCACTATGAAGGAAACAATATGGTGGACTGAGTAATATATCCCTCACATTTGATAACCTGGTACCCTGTTTAATGTTATCAGTAATCAATACAAAAGTAAACCATTGTTAACAAAACAACACTTCCCCGCTGCCCTGAAAGAGGCGGTGGTGAGGCCTCTCCTCAAGAAGCCGTCCCTGGATCCAGCAATATTGGCTAACTATTGTCCTGTCTCCAACCTTCGCTTCATTGCAAAGGTTGTTGAGAGTGTGGTCGTGCAACAGTTTCCGCAATTCCTGGAGGAAACATCCTATCTAGATCCGTTCCAGTCGGGTTTCAGGTCTGGGCACAGCACGGAAACGGCATTGGTCGTGTTGGTGGATGATCTCTGGAGGGCTCGGGACAGGGGTTATTCCTCTGTTCTGGTCCTATTAGATCTCTCAGCGGCTTTTGATACCATCGACCATGGTATCATGCTGCACCGGCTGGAAGAGTTGGGGGTGGGAGGCACTGTGTTGCGGTGGTTCTCCTCCTTTCTCTCCGACCGGTCGCAGTTTGTGTTGGCAGGGGGGCAGAGGTCGACCTCGAGGCCTCTCATCTGTGGAGTGCCGCAGGGATCGGTCCTCTCGCCCCTTCTGTTCAACATTTATGTGAAGCCGCTGGGCGAGATCATCCGTGGCTTTGGGGTGAGATACCACCAGTACGCTGATGACACCCAGCTGTACATCTCCACCCCAGGCCACCCCAACGATGCCCTTGAAGTGATGTCCCAGTGCCTGGAGGCTGTGCGGATCTGGATGGGGAGGAACAGGCTCAGGCTCAACCCTTCCAAGACTGAGTGGCTGTGGCTCCCGGCATCCCAATATAGTCAGTTGACTCCATCGCTGACTATTGGGGGTGAGTCTTTGGCCCCCACTGAAAGGGCTCGCAATCTGGGAGTCCTCCTGGATAGGCAGCTGTCTTTTGAGGAACATCTAACGGCTGTTACCAGGGGGACCTTTTATCAGGTTCGCCTGATTCGCCAGTTGCGGCCCTTTCTTGATCGGGATTCCTTGTGCACAGTCACTCACGCCCTCGTCACCTCTCGCCTTGACTACTGCAACACTCTCTACATGGGGCTCCCCTTGAAGAGCACCCGGAGGCTCCAGCTGGTCCAGAATGCAGCAGCGCGGGTAGTGATGGGAGCAACATGGCACTCCCATGTAACACCGCTCCTGCGTGAGCTGCACTGGCTCCCGGTGGTCTTCCGGGTGCGCTTCAAGGTGTTGGTTATCACCTTTAAAGTGCTCCATGGCATAGGGCCTAGCTATCTCCGAGACCGCCTGCTGCTACCGACGACCTCCCATCGACCCGTGTGCTCCCACAGAGAGGGCCTCCTCAGGGTGCCATCAGCCAAACAATGTAGGCTGGTGGGCCCCAGGGGGAGGGCCTTCTCTGTGGGGGCTCCCACCCTCTGGAATCAGTTGCCCCTGGAGATAAGAAGAATCCATGACCTCAATGCCTTCCGTCGTTCCCTGAAAACCTATCTTTTTCAGCAAGCCGGGTTGGCTTAGAAGAAATTTTTAAATTCTTTTAATTAGTTTGTGATTCTTAACTTTCGGGCCAAAATTTATATATATTTTTAAATGTTTTAATATTTGTATTCTATGTTTTTTATCTTGGCTGTACACCGCCCTGAGTCCTCAGGGAGAAGGGCGGTATATAAATTGGAAATTAAATTAAATTAAAATTAAATTAAATAAAAGGTTTTACTATTGGAAAATACAGTTTTATGTACAATAGTAATGAATTGTAAAATTCATCTGGTTGTCCAGCAATGGCCTTAACATGTTCCTACAAGTGTTTCTATATGAATTACAATACAATAAAATATAGGTCAATAATTCAATAATCCCAGACTGATAGGGGCAAATCTTTGTTTTCATAAGAGGTTTTCTAGAACACAACTCCATATGGCTGGTGACAAAATAACAAGTGCCAACAATTTGAAAACAGTATGGGATTTGTGGAGCATATGTCTGTGCATAACAATGAGATATGGGGAAGGGGACTAGTGCAGTGGTGGGTTTATACTGGTTCGCCCTGGTTCGGGTGAACTGGTAATGGCAGTGGTGGGAGGCTCTGCCCACCTGCCCAGACATCATCATGGACACTCTGCGCATGCACGGAAGGTTCTGCACATGCACAGAAGCGCCACGCGCGAGCAAAGCAAGTGCATGTGAGTGAAGCAAGCGCACGCATGCGTGCTCACAGTTCCAAACCGTAGCAAAGGTAAGTGGAACCCACTACTGGACTAGTGGTTATCTTTCCTGAATTAGAGTTGGCAGCCATCCATAATATTGTATGTAGCAGAATATAACCACTATGCCATATGATCAGAACTATTGTTCTGCCTTAATTAACCCTGGTTTGTTATTGTGAGAATCGAGCCACTCTAATAAATAAAGGAGGAAAGTGTCCATTTGTTCAGTGAAGGAGTGTTTATTCTGGATGCTACTATTGTAATGTAATAAATTATTTTGGCTACTCCACACCCTTAATATTTACATACATGCTCATATGAGAATGGTTTCTATACTTTTATCTAGTCAATAATGTAATTATCTCCCATTATATTACTCTATATTTTATTGTACATTATATTTCTACTATTTAGTTTGTAGTCTTAATTTTAAAAAATTTTATATAGCGATCTCACTACATTTTAAAATTGCTTTGTGTTAGTAACACTAGCTTTTGTATCTTTTACAGGCTTCGCTGAAATAGTGGTAATACTTATTGATATTATTCTATGTTCTTTTATGACCAAAATAAAAGATTAAAAAAATCCTGTGGAATTTGTTGTTATTGTTGTTTAAAGCCAGTTTAAAACAGATTTTAGTTGACAATATCCTGATTTTATTCTGTTTGGTATTATACTTTAACCAATTTGCAAAGATCCTGTTCTTGCCCCCAAGTCAATAGGATCTCTAGTGCAAATCCTATTTCTGAAGTTTATCTCCAATTAGCTGTTTCCAGGAAGAATGGTATTTGTTTAGTGGGATAAGAGTCTCAGAGTCAGAAATTAATCTTTAGACAGTATTTGAAAAGCATTTAGCATTCCTTTGCTTCAACTTTTAGTTTTCAACCACAGACTTTCAGCTGTAGGGCCGCATTAGGAATGTATCTGGCTACTTGAAACAGCTTTCATGAAAAAGAAGTTTGAAATCTTTTTAGCTTAACATAATTCATACCTACATTTAATTGAACCCTACCCAGGTTAGTTAGATAGTCGCTGGAATAATTTGCACATCCCAGAGAAAAAAAAGAAAATTGTTGCAGAACTTCTGTAGATATTCCATGAAATTTGGGCATTACATTTCTTTGTGTAATATAGGAGAAAATCCCAAAATAAAAACCAAACTGCTAAAAAAAATAATATTTTATAAATGGGATATCACCCTCATGCCTTTTAAAATCCAATATTTCAACTTCTACCCTCAAAACGACACACACCAGAACAAAGCACAAGGACAGTTTTTCCCACTGTCCTTGTGGGACACTGTCAAATAATTTATTTAAACTGTATTACTGTGTCTTCCGTCCTAGTATCTACCTCTTCCCACTTATTACTATAATCATGTTGCTTGTATCTTTCAATTTATATTGTTTTTTTTTCCTAGTACGATTTGATAGCTTATTAATAACCTTGACTGTCACTAAGTGTTGTATCTTTTTATTCTTGATGAATATATTTTATTCTCCTTATGTACACTGAGAGCGTATGCATCAAGACAAATTCCTTGTGTATCCAAGCACACTTGGCCAATAAAGAATTCTATTCTATTCTAATTTCTTCCATTCC